ATAAATTTCTTTGGAAAGATTATCCCATCTATGATGCAATGTGAGAACCTGCACAAAACTTCATCTATTATTAAGAGACAATTTGGAGATACCATCGGAAGCAAAATGAGGATGTTTTGCATTAGTAGAGGAGAATTAACTGTAACAAGGTATAGATAAGATATTTTTACATAAGAATAGATAGTTAGAATCATAGAAGTTTCTAAAATTGGAATTAGGTTAGTAGACCGAATAGGATCTACTATAGAATCTTCTAGAAAAAACTTAGGATAGTTATCTAGATAGGACCCACTATAGAACCTTCTAGAAGGAGTTTAAAGTGGTTATTTAAGTGAGATCTATTATCTAAGAACATTCTAAAAAGTCCAAGGTGATAGAATAAAATATAAATAGAATTAGCTGAGGCCTTTAGGGATATTTAGTTAGGTATGGCTTCAGATCTTTTGTCTTAATACAATTGGATTTTGTATCTTCTTATTTTGTTTTATTTTGTTCTAATTTTGGTTGCTCAATTTTGTTCTTTGTGTCCCATTCTATTCAATTTTATTCAATTTTGTTCTGGTCTAGTTTGTCCTATCTTATGATGAGGTTTTATATTACTGTGGATTATAAGGATCTTAAACACTTGAGATAGATAGGTCTTGTTTCAACTTCATCTTCTATAGCCAAGTACTCGATGTATTTTCAAACAAGAAAATATGTTATTTAATAAAAGTTACAAGTATAAAAAATGGCAATTCTTGATGAGAGGTATATTTCAAAGGAATGATCTATGAGATGTAATATTTATACTATTTGCACATAAGGCAACTTCATCATTTGAAGAGCCAAAAAATAAAAGAGCAAATAAATCAACTAACTTAATTTTTACAACAATTGAATATGACCTATAATATAAAAAATACATTGGTATACTATTTCAAATATAATGATAATGCTAAACAAATAAAAGGCCATTAGAATGCATAAAAATCAAAATGTTTTATCATTTATTTCATCAATTTATAATATTATTATATTATACATTTATAAATATTATTTAAGCAATTATGGCTATAGAGATTGTACATGCATCATGACAAATATAAATTCTTCTACAATTAACTATTATTCTTAGGCCACATTATTGTTCTAAGAAATCTTGGCTTATAAAAAATAGAGATTGATGTTTTGCAAAGGATCTTCATATCAATTAATATTTCATAATTTTGAATTTTTTTGGACTTGAAAAATTATTATCTTCAATATGTTAAGAACTTCAATTTGATTTCCAATTCTTTAATTATTTTTACAAGTAAGATTCAATTATGGACTTGGAATTATAAGCAACAACATACAATTGATTCATTGAAGCAAAACTTAGATTGAACTTTAGTACTTTGACATCTATATGCTATTAGACCTTTTTAATTGCATATAGATAAGAGAGTAATAAGATTAAGAATAATCTTAGTACATAAAGATGATATAAAGCATGAATATATCATTGCATTTCAAAATGCAACTATTCATCATATAAAAAAGAAGTTTTGACAAGAATTTGAGTCATTACTTACTTTTGATCTTATTTGTATGAATAATAATTTATATTGGTGACTAAATATCAACCTTCAAAGTAGCTTATAGAATCAAATAAATTTACCATTAAGCTTGTTAGATTGGCATTATTGCTTAAAAAATATGACTTTGAGGTTGTGTATTAGACAAAAATTATTAATTTAGATGCAGATGGACTTCCTTATAACTCATGTACTTCAAAAAAAGTCTTGATTAGAGCTAAAAGATATAAGGATTGTGAAGAAGAAACAATTCTTGGATAGTATGTATTAATATATGTTACTTTTGTATCATGTTTTGCATCTATGTTATCTAATTAATATTCGAATGAAGAATCCAATAAAATCTAAATGTTTAATAATATATTTGACGACCTTACAATCTTACATAAGCTTCAACAAGAGACATTATTTTTAGCTATCATTTCTATGCAACATGATAGAATTAGTTACAAAATAGCAAGGTTTTATTAGAATAAATATTTATCATTCAATGTATGGTATGATGGAACTACACATATAGTTTGAAAGCTAAATCAAATAGCTTCTTTGATGTAGCAAATACATAAGGAGATTTTATTTTTGGAATGTATATGGTATATTCTAATTTGTACAATCAATATTAATAGACTGACATATTCTAAGTTGTGCAATCAATATTAGTAGACTAACATATATCAATAGGTTGCTACATATTTTTTATAGTATAAAGTATATAATTGAATCAAATCAAGTTTGTATCATTTCAGTTGAGACCTTTATCAATCATAGATTTTATCTTTGGATTTTTTTGGGCCACTTTTTGTCACTCTATATGAAGCTAAATACATATTTATGATGGTGGAGCATTTGAGCAAGTAAATCAAGTTTATGGCTCTATAATATAATTCTTAAAAATTAATAGCTATGGCTTCTCTTGATTATGTTTAGAATCTTTTGGAATACATTCTAAAGTCTTGATAGATCAAGAGAAGAAGTTTATTAGGTCTTTAAGGCTTTATATATTAAAGCTCTAATAGTTTATTTATTTATAATTAGAATTGATATATTATTTGATAGTAATGATTTGTAATTAATTACATAATTTTATAAAATTAATTAATAATTAATTATTTAAACTAAATACATACTTGAATTATGAAATAAGATTTCAAAATGATCTAAGCAATATTAAAAATTATTAATAATTCTTATTGTATAAAGGCTTGTATTTTAAAAAAAAAATTAATATTTAAAATTATTTTAAATTTTAGACAAAAGAATTTATTAATATATATATATATATATATATATATATATATATGTATAATCTATAAATAAGCTTAATAAATAGATGATATTATTAATAAAAAAATCTAAAGTACCTCTAATTGAAGTTTAAAAATAAATATTAAATGTTAAAAGTAATAATATCAACATACTAAAATATTATAATTGTAAGTTTTATATATATATATATATATATATATTATAAAAGCCAAAAGATCTATCAAGATGGATAATAAATTAATTATAAAAATCTAAATGAACAAGTTTAAATGTAAAATTAAAATAAACTAGAGAATTGTATTACATTATTTTTAAATAATACAATCATAATTGAATGAATTTCTACAAAAACTCTAACAATATTTATGCACAAAGATAATAATATGGTAGCTATATAAACATAGTAGCAATAATTATGTGCTACAAATGAAAGATAAATATAATATTATTTTTCAAAATTTCTACAAAATATTATAAACATACCCAAAACATTTTCAAAGTTTTGACACAATTATTAACATTTTTTCTAATTCTAAAGCAATTATCTCTAAAATTCATCTTAACATTATATAGTTGTGATTATTGGTCTAGGTGTTGATTGAATTATTTGCATATAGAAATGAAAACAACAATGCATTAGTATAATTGCATGCATCATAATATAAGATTTAAATTTCGATTTTAAATCTACACAGTTTTCAGATTTTGAGTCAAACCAGTGATTTTACTTTTATATGCAATGATTAATTTTTAAATAATTCAAAAAACAGCAAAAATTCATCTGGAATCATTATTAGATATTCATGAAAATTTCTATAATAACAGATTAAATATAAAGCAAACATTTTTTTTGAAAATCAGCAAAGTGTATTTCAGATACAAAATGCTTTATTTGATTGTAAAACTTGGGTTTATTTTACAAATTGGTATTTTCATAAATTCTTTACATTAATTGAAAATCAAATGGTCAATTTAAATGATGGCTACTACATTAGCAATGTCTGTTTTAATATAAGGTTATGTACAGGGCATAGATTTTTGTTACTATTTTTTAAAAAATCTAGATTGTATCTTAATTCATGTGAAAATTTTAGTTATTTATTTAACATTACTAAATTTTCCTATAATAAAAAATAAAAAATAAAAAATTGTTAGCTGGTGGACTTATTCTAGAAAAATCCATTTTACACATCAGATTTTACAGGAAAACGCACAGCATGAGGCACATTCACATTCACACAGAAGTAACATTTAAAGTTTCAGAACTGTTTTAATCTTCACATGTAAACTAGATCTTCAGCATTAAGACTACTAAGCTAAATTTCTGGAAGCAAGGGCATTCCAATATTGCAGTTGGAAAGCATGGCGGGGGAATGGAGGCACCACAGGCAAAGTTTCATTAAAGCTGACAAAATTGAAATGATCCACTCTATACATCATGCCAAGATCCCTAACCCATTGTTCCAAAGCAACAAATAAGTTCCCATCATTGTTCAAGGCTTCTAGTGGGTTTCACCTCATAAAGCAGTTGTACAAGGAACTCAGTAAGGGCCTTTTACTAGCAAAGGCTAGTACAGCGCTCAGTCATTGACAATGCACAACGTGCTCGACATCAGGTAACCTTGAATATTGCAAACTAATTCATCGTATTTGTTCGTGAGCACAACATTCTTTGCTGGAGGCCATGCTGGAGGTTATGCTGTAGGAAATCAGGGAGGAAATTCAGGCACAAAATGAACACGATAATCTTCTAAGCTAAGATTCAAGCAACGACATATATCCCGTGATTTAAATATTGTGTTTTAAGTTTCAGCGACCAAGGCAAGAAACATAACGAATTCGCTGAAGAGACCATCATTTCTGGCAATATTGCAGCTATGAACGTAGACTGTTCCATGTAGGGCTTAGAGAATTCAAGCGCACAAAGAAACGGTAGCAACGATAATCACATTGTCAAGATCCCTATAATTTCATGAACAGCACACCTTACGATGCTGCCTCTGTTGCTTATTTCTGGAGGCTTAGGTTGAATAAAAGTCATTCGCAATAAAACACAGAACTGGTCCACACAAAAGAAGTGATCATCCTCGTTCTTCAGGCATGGTACTTTTCCATTGCGAATATGACGGCCGAGGATTTGAGTTTTAACCTGGTAGAAAAAGAAATCTTTCCCGGTTTGACTGAATATGAAACAGTATTAGCATTGTTGCAAGCAAGTGACATGAATTAGCCTAAGTTAAAACGCACTTGACGAAGGCCGTCCAGCTAGCCACAATGACGGCTACATAATTGAAAGTTCACTCTAAGACAGGACGGTCCGTGCGAACACGTGAATAAAAAATAAATACTCGATCCAACATAGTTTCTGGGATCACATATAACTTCCTAATTCTATTAACATGCCTGAAGACCGCACTGAATTGTAACAATTCGCATGTCCAAGAGCTACCCCAAATTATATTTTCGTTTTGGAACAGACACATGCACATGAACTGTGGTTTATTTTCTCAGCAAAATGTGAAGTGAAGTTGACTGCTCTTGTTCTTCACTGAAGGCAAATGAACATCGGCATAACGTGGATGTCTTCAGACCATTCCTCCTGTAAAACATAAAAACAATCTCTAAATTCTAAGCCACTAGTGTCTCGAGTTCATTAAGTCAGTCATGATCATATCTAAATCACCCTAGTCAACCCTCCCAAATACCTCGTACACTACTTCAAAGCAATAAACATTCTTTTAATAAAAACTTACCTCTACGATGCATTCCCAGCTTCTAAAGCGTTTAAGTGTGATGAATTGCGAGCTTCTAAAGCTTTCAACTGTTCTAGCGTAAACCCTCTTGACCTGGCTTGAAGGTGCTGAGGCAATTTCTTCTCGCAACCAGGCTTTACAGTTAGAGCGGCAACTTCCATTGTGTACAGTTTGTTGTACACTGCCGCGATCCTTGTCCTCCATTCCCGGGCTAGGTCATTGTCCAATTTGTGTTCGGGCGTAGTCAACAGATACTCGTCCAACCCTCCAGCTTTGTCAATGCACCGCAGGGCGTGCATGGTAATATTCATCTTGATGTACCGATCCAACCCCAAACTAAAAATCCGTTTCGTTTGCACATTGGGTTTCCAAGTCCGACGTGATCTGAAGCCAAAACCAAAGTCCACAAAGTACCCACCACTGAAAACATCTCCAAGCACCAAAATCCAACAATGATTCTGCATCGAAAACCATTCCATACACAAACTGGAATACTGCTTACAACAATCACGAACGAACTGAAAAAAGAAAACAGCTTCAACACCCCCAAGACGACAAAGACTCACTTGTTGCCACCGTCTTCACTGACTTGATTCCCGAATTGAATATGACGACCTGCGTACAAGCCACGCTTGGCGCGTCCCATCACCACTCTGGCCGCAGACATCTTGGCGATGGCGAGGAACGAAAACCCAACTGCACAAATTCGAGATAGAAATCTGCAGAATTCCCTACAGCAGATGTTCGAATTCGACGAATTCCAACCCGAGTCACCCTAAGCCCTAAAAAACCCAAACCCTCAAACTGAATAAAAAAGAGTCGCAGAAATGACCAAGGGAACGCATATAGCCAAGGGAACGTCAGTGCGCATTCTCACCTTGTCAGTTGAGACGTCATACACACACACGAGTAGTAGTAAGTCATACACACACAAGGGTTGAGTAGTAGTAAGTCATACACACACACGAGTAGTAGTAAGTCATACACACACAAGGGTTGAGTAGTAGTAAGTCATACACACACACGAGTAGTAGTAAGTCATACACACACAAGGGTTGAGTAGTAGTAAGTCATACACACACAAGGGTTTCTAAGGAGAGAGAGCTTCACACACACAAAAATCTATTGATCTGGTTGTATCTCACACACAAGAAGAGAGAAGATAAGATGATGAACAGTACTTCTCCACTAGACTCTAAATACTGTAGCTATAGTAATTACTATAGTCTATAGTAAATATTATGGAGAGCGTCGGCTACATTTAATGATCTCAACACTTCTCCTCGCTCATCATAATATTTACATAATATAAAATTTATATAGATTTATGATCTATACTTTTTTAAGATCTTGTAAGATCAAGAATTGTTGCCTCATTAAAACCTTATCTAGAAAAACCTTATTTTATTTAAGGACAAAACCATAGATGAAGGAAAAAGAGTACAACATCATTTTCTTTAATTATTTAAAGAGCTCTTTAACTTTCTTATTCAAGAAAAGCAAGTCACCGCATACCAATGCCATAAGTAAGTCGACGATGATTGCTTAATGGGAGAGCTTTGGTGAAGAGATCAGCAAGGTTATTTGTAGATTCAATTTTCTTAATTATAAGTGCTTGATCAGTAATCAAGTCATGAGTATAATTAAAATACTTTGGATCAATATGCTTTGTCCTGTTACCTTTAATGAAACCAACTTGCATCTGTGCAATACAAGCACTATTATCTTCATGCAAGATAGTTGGAGAATCATCATATGAAAATCCACAAGTTGTTTGAATGAATTTATCAATTAATCGCAACCAAATACATTCTCGAGATGCTTCATGTAAGGCAATAATTTCTGCATGGTTGGATGAAGTTGCAGTTATTGTTTGTTTCACTGATTTCCATGATATTGTAGCTCCATGTCTTAAAAATACATATCCTGTTTGAGATTTAGCTGTTGCAATGTCAGATTTATATCCTGCATTACAATATCCAACCAATTTTGGATCTGCAGATTTTGTGTAATATAATCCCAAGTCTTCAGTATCTTTTAAATAACGTAATAAATATTTGATGTCATTTCAATGTTGTAGTGTTGGACGTGCACTATGTCTTGTAAGAATACTAACTGCAAATGCAATATCTGGTCTTGTAGATGTATCTAAATACAAAAGTGCTCCAACCGCTACGAGGTATGGATATTGGTCTCTCAATATTTCTTCCTCCTCCTCGCATGGACGGTATGGATCATGACCATCACGACCACGTCCAACCATTAGTGTGGATAATGGATAAGCATCATTCATATTAAATCTTTGCAAAATTCGTCTAATATATGTTAGTTGGTAGAGAAAAATGCTACCATCTGTAAGATGCATAATCTGAAGACCAATGCAGAAAGTTGTTTTTCCTAGCATTTTCATCTCAAATTCACGTATAAGTAGGTTTGTAGCTGTAACACATGTAGATGTAGTGCCCACTAGGTTAAGTTCATCAACATATACAGCGATGATCACAAAACCAGTTTTATCTCGTTTGATAAATAAACAAGGGATTAGTGGATCACTTATAAAATTATTTTTAATTAAATAATCTCAAAGACGTTAATACCACATTCGTCCGGATTGTTTTAAACCATACAAGGCCTTACATAATTTAATACCACGATATTTTCTTGGAGCGAGTTGATTTGGAGTTCTTGTTTCTAAGCCGGGTTGAACTTTCATATAAATATTTGCATGAAGAGAACCATATAGATATGCAGTAACTACATCCATTAGATGCATCTCAAGGGTGGCATGAACTGTCATTCCAATAATATATCGAAATGTAATTGAATCCATGACTAGAGAATATGTGGATTCATAATCAATGCCAAATCGTTGAAAAAATCCTTGAGCAACAAGACGAGCTTTATAGTGGGTTATTTGGCCTTGAGTATCTTGCTTGCATATTAATACCATTTTATATTCCACAGGGCGAGATGTAAGAATGTCTACAATTGGACCAAAGACTTTCTTCTTACGCAAAGAGGCATACTCCTCCTCAATAGCAGTTTTTCATTTTGACCAATCACAGCGACGCTTCGCCTCTTCGATGGTTTGAGGTTCAGGATCGTCTTTGTCACAAGAAAGGGCTTCTATAATCATATATGCAAATGATTCATCTACCGTAATAGATGGTCTGTCCCAAATATCATCTTTAGCATAATACAGAATAGATAATTCTTTACTCAACTTGTTCTTATTCCTTCCAGTTCCAAGATTGTTTTTCATAGGAATTGAAGGTACATTATGCATGGATATATCATCATGAATTGATAGTCCTGCAAGATGAGTAGCAATTTCTTGAGAAATAATACCAGGATTAGTTAATTTTATAGCTTTTTTCTTACGTGGTTGCTTATTTGGTCCACGAGTTCTTTTAGTTGTTGTTGTTATAACTTGAGGTATTGTAGTCAATGGCACTGCAATCTGAGCAGGTGCATTCTGAGCCTCATTAATCAGAACTCTTGTAATTCTAGGTGCATCATTGAAGCCATCAAGTGTTTCATCCGGGATCCATTTTAAATGCAAAATCTTAGGAACTTCAGTTTCTGCCAAAGATGTCCTAGGATCGGGATTCATTGTAAATGTTTCTGGTGCTTCAAATATGAGTACTTTATTTCTTTGTTGATTGGATACTCCTCTCTGAAGAGATGGAAATACAGTTTCTTCAAAACGGCAATTTTACAGATGTGCACGTAATAATGTGCCAATTGATAGATCAACAATACGAATAATGCTTGGTGAATCAAAACCAACATATATGCCTTCTTGTCGATGAACTCCAATGGTACGTCGTTGAGGTTCGGGAACTGGAATCCAAGCACGGCAACCAAATACTCGTAAGTAAGATATATTTGGAATAGGACCTAAAATGAGCTCATGTGGTGAAACAGTTTCAAGAGAAGAAGGGAAGAGGCGTAATTATGCTACAACATGTAAAACTGCATGACCCCACATAGATGTAGGTAGATTTGCGTAAAGGAGGAGTAGCCACGTAATGAGTTGTATACGCTTTATAAATGACTCTGCAAGTCCATTTTGAGCATGTTCATATGGAACACAATATGTCAACTTGATTCCTGTTGTAGTACAATAGTCTTCAAAAGACTTTGATGCAAATTCTTTTGCATTATCCATACGCAATATTTTTATAGGATAATCAGGGAAATGTGCCCGAAAGTGAATAAGCATAGATATAAGATTGGCAAACACCATGTTTTGAGTTGATAATAATGAAACATGTGATTGTTTACCTGATGCATCAATAAGGACCAAAAAATAACAAAATGGTCCTGATGTTGGATTAATAGGACTACAAATATCACCATGCAAATTTTCAAGCATTGGTGGTAACTCTTGTGGAAGTTTTTAAATTGAAGGCCAAGTAATCATTTTACCTTGCATGTATGCACGACATAATTCCATAGAGTCTACATCTGCAGGCTTAAAATTGTGTCCAGTTATACATGGAATGATCTTTCTAAATAATGTGGATCCTGGATGTCCCAATCGTCCATGCCAGAGAGAAATACGACTCTCTGAGATAGATGATATAAAATTAAATATAATGGGAGGCCGAATCACAATTCGGTATAAACTATTTTTTGTAGTAAAAGCTTTTTCAACAACTTTATGGTTCTTCGCAAGAACCAAAACTTCTTTTGTATTTAAAGTGGCGGTTGAGAGGTGATAACCATTAATATACACATCTCGGTAGCTGATCAGACTCCGAGGTGCTGAGGGTGCAAACATCACATGTTTATATTTTATGATGGAACCCGCAGGTAATTTTACCATCGCTGTGCCCTCTTGGAAATAAAACACATTTGCTCGAGCTATGGTCATCATATTTTTAGTTTGCCAAGTTGAACATTTTTTAATAAAAAATCATCTATATCGTAAGATAGTATGTATTATTACAAAATCAATGAGCGCATCATTTGATTCATCATTAGAGATTCTATCATTCATATAAGCCTCTAAGTCATCAACACCAATTGAATCCATGGACGCATCCATGGTATGAACTTCACGAGCCTCAACTCACAATTTCTTATTTTCTTAAAATATTTAATAAAATATTTTGAAGTACGGCACGCATGTGCTAAATGTCCAATCATTCCACACTTATAGCAAGAATGCATCTCTAATTTTTATTTTCTACTATAATTAATAGTAGAACGTTTATTCTTTCTATATGGGTGGAAATGGTCTTGACTATGACTACCCTGATACTTATGAGTACGTTTCCCATGTTTATATAATTTCTTCTTAGACTTTGAAATATTAAGTGCATGAGATTTTGGAATTGTAGTTCCAATAGAACGAGCTTCCGCATTGCATAAGAGTAGCTCATTTTGCTTCTCCGTAAGAAGTAGATAGGACATGAGATCAGAATGACTCTAAAATTTTATGTTCCTATATTGTTGTGCAAGCAGAGCAGATGCAGGAGGAAATGTAGAGAGAGTTTTCTCAATCATTTCTTCTTCAGAAATGCTTTGTCTACATAATCATAATTGTGAAATAATACTATATATTTTACTATTGAAAGCATTTAAATTTGGAAAATCCAAGACACGTAAATGTGTCCAATTATGGCGTGCACGTGGAAGAAAAATGGTCTTTTGATGATCAAACCTAGATTTAAGATTCTTCCAAAGTTCTGCAGGTTCTTCCATTTCCAAATATTGATGTTGTAATGTGGGTACAAGATGATGACGAAGGAAAAGAAGTGCTTTCCAACGAATAGCAGGACATATAGAAATACTTGTTGTAGGAGATTCTTCAAACATAA